CGTGCTAGTCTCATAATTAACCAATGTCAACTCCACTTTGTCCCTTTTTGCTTTGTCAAGATGACTGCTCTTGCCTTGGTCCATGCTATTACCAAAGTTCACTTCCTCATCCTCACTATCAGATAGCTGGTGACCAAAGAAAACCTCAAATCCGGGGAGGCGCTCCTTTGTCTCGGGGTTAACCCATGGTTCAAGAAAAGCCACAAAAGGGAAAATTGTCCCCCTCTCTGATAGCATGACTATTCAAGGTTCCCTGGATCGGTTTGTAGTTTAATTCATACTACTTGCCAGCCCTCTTAGCTTTGGCCCTTTTCTCTCAGCCCATCCCCTTTTTTCTTCCAATCTTCTTTCGTAGGTTTGTACCCTAACCCAAATGAATGAGGATTATGGGTAACTTCCCCTACCACAGCAATACCTTTCCTACCACTCTTTTCAAGTCCCATCCCCAGGATATGTCCTAGAGCCGCGACCCAGTAGATTGACTGAGCACTTAGGTATATTCCGTCTTCATTTGCCATGATAGTCTGAACTAACTAGGCTTCAGTTAAAGTAAACCCGGAGAGAAAAACGTCTTCTTCATCCCTTTCTTCAGCGAGCCAAATAGTGGTTCACAAGTAGAGGCTATTTTAGAAATAAATCTTCTTATGAATAACACTTTCCTTAGAAAGCCTCACATCTCCTTTTCAGTGATCGGTGGGGGCATTTATAAGAATGCCTTGATTTTGGACGGGTCGACCTCGATCCCACGTTGCGTAATTAGGAACCCCAGTATCTTTTCTGCAGTCACCCCAAAGGTACATTTTTGTGGATTCAGCCTTAACTTGTACTTTTGGATTCTTTCAAAGAATCTTCTCAAAACATCATGATGATCCTCTTATTCCCTAGACTTGACAATCATATCATCCACGTATACTTCAACCTCCTTGTGAATCATGTCATGCAATATGGTGGTTACTACTTTCTAGTAAGTGGCTCCAGCATTTTTCAACCCGAATGGCATAACTCAATAGCAGTAAGTCCCCCATTGGGAATTGAATGTCGTCTTCTCTATGTCTTTTGGTGCCATGGAGATCTTATTATACCCTGAAAACCCATCCATGAACAAAAACAAAGCATGACCTATAGTGAAATCTACCAATTCATCAATATGTAGCAGCGAGAAATCATCTTTAGGGCTGGCTTTATTCAAATCTCTAAAATCAACACAGACTCGAATCCTACCATCCTTTTTTAAAACTGGTATGATATTTTCCAACCATGTAGAATATTCTAACACAATAAAAAATCCAACATTGATCTACTTAGTGACCTTCTCCTTGATTTTCAATGCCCAGTCTAGCTGAATTCTATGGAGTTTCTGATTGATAGGTCTGGCCTAAGGATCAAGATGGATCATTCACTGGACAATCTCAGGATCGATTCCAGGCATGCCTTCATAGGGCCACGCAATAACATCTTTAAATTTCTTTGACAAGGCAACTAGTCGCTCGAGTTCCTCCTAAGACAGTGTGGAACTAATCTAGACTAAGTAAGGATCATTCTCAGTACCCACTTTAATCAAAACAATCTCATCCATCAAAGGTTTCACACGTCTCTCCTCCTCCCAATTAATCAAACTTTTCAAAGCCCAAGGAATTTCTTCCTTTTCATTTTCATCAAAATTTTGAAAATCTTGGTCAATGTAATAAATTAAAGGCACAGGAAAATAAGTACAATCAACATGATTCTCGTTCATTAGGTCTAGCTTAGCAGATACAGTGGACTCAAAGGAAAAAGAAAAAGACGATTGAGACAAGACAGTGGCATCTAGGTCATCAACCCCAGAATCACCCAACTCAGAACTAGCAGAAGAACCCGAGTCTGACTCCAACTTTACAGACTCAGTAAAATCAAACTTGAACTCACTATCATATTCAGACTCCACTATACAAACCTTCTCGAGTTGCCAAGTCAAACGAAGTGTATCAGATGCATCCAAGATAAGATCACTGTAATCCACAGACGACCTTTCCCCGATCATAAAAACACTAACATCCTTAAAACCCTACAACTCAGTACTAGCAGGTACATGGGAGTCATCAGGTGCTATAAGCAACACTCCTATCTCATATCTATATTGATTGGCAGCTCCGTCAAAATACAATTTGCAGGTGTCCTTTTCCAACTGTAGAATCTGTTCATCCAAGAATTCATACTCCTCGCATTTTTCTTTATCGATTGGGTGGTTTGCCAAGAACTCCACTACAACTCTACTTTTGACAGATTTGAGAATGACATATCAAAAATCAAACTCGGACAACAAAAGCAACCATCGAGCTAAGTGTTGGTTTCTTAAAAAGATATTAGATGAGGATCCAATCTTGAAACCGAGATTACTGAATGTGCTAACAAGTAGTGCCTCAACTTTTTGGTGGCCCACACCAAGGCTAGAGAAGCTTTTTCCAAAGCGGTGTAACGAGTCTCATATCCCAACATTTTCTTGCTTAGATAGTCTATGGCCTTCTCTAGTTTCTCTTTCAAGCTTGTGCTAGCATGTAGCCCATAGTAGACTCAATCACTGACAGGTATAGGATCAATGGTTTCCCTAGCCCGAGAGGTGATAACACAGGCAGATTCTGCAGATATTGCTTGATTTGTTCAAAAGCATAAGTGCATCGATCATCCCATTAGAACTTCATCCCTTTCTTCAGCGAGCCAAATAGTGGTTCACAAGTAGAGGCTATTTTAGAAATAAATCTTCTTATGAATAACACTTTCCTTAGAAAGCCTCACATCTCCTTTTCAGTGATTGGTGGGGGCATTTATAAGAATGCCTTGATTTTGGACGGGTCGACCTCGATCCCACGTTGCGTAATTAGGAACCCCAGTATCTTTTCTGCAGTCACCCCAAAGGTACATTTTTGTGGATTCAGCCTTAACTTGTACTTTTGGATTCTTTCAAAGAATCTTCTCAAAACATCATGATGATCCTCTTATTTCCTAGACTTGACAATCATATCATCCACGTATACTTCAACCTCCTTGTGAATCATGTCATGCAATATGGTGGTTACTACTTTCTAGAAAGTGGCTCCAGCATTTTTCAACCCAAATGGCATAACTCAATAGCAGTAAGTCCCCTATTAGGAATTGAATGTCGTCTTCTCTACGTCTTTTGGTGCCATGGAGATCTTATTATACCCTGAAAACCCATCCATGAACAAAAACAAAGCATGACCTATAGTGAAATCTACCAATTCATCAATATGTAGCAGCGAGAAATCATCTTTAGGGCTGGCTTTATTCAAATCTCTAAAATCAACACAGACTCGAATCCTACCATCCTTTTTTAAAACTGGTATGATATTTTCCAACCATGTAGAATATTCTAACACAATAAAAAATCCAACATTGATCTACTTAGTGACCTTCTCCTTGATTTTCAATGCCCAATCTAGCTGAATTCTATGGAGTTTCTGATTGATAGGTCTGGCCTAAGGATCAAGATGGATCATTCACTGGACAATCTCAGGATCGATTCCAGGCATGCCTTCATAGGGCCACGCAATAACATCTTTAAATTTCTTTGACAAGGCAACTAGTCGCTCGAGTTCCTCCTAAGACAGTGTGGAACTAATCTAGACTAAGTAAGGATCATTCTCAGTACCCACTTTAATCAAAACAATCTCATCCATCAAATGTTTTTCATGCCTCTCATCCTCCCTGTCATGACCCGAACTCCCCCTAGAGGTTAGGATCATAACCAGCTAGTAATCATGAGATTACCTGAGGCCTTAAATAGAAATCAAATTATATTTAAAAATATGGGGCCAGGAGCAGAAGCAGACTAACAAATTTTGTCCAATGAGTTGTGCATATGTGGCATAACAAAATCATTTTTTACATTAATAACTCACATCCATAGATATATATAACAGATAATACATGTCCAGAATCATTCACAAGTTCGTCATACAGATGTAGTCAAATGTAACCAATAAGAGAAAAACAAAAGATGAAAAACAAAAGCCTTATGCGTAAAGCATTCTTGGCTGACTTCACAAAATTCTTGGTAATCTTGCACAAGTTGACTAGGGCTGGGGCTGAACATCCCATTATATATATATCAGAGTAAGTGAAAGCCTAGTGAATAACATCATAGTAAAGGGGTTTTGTGAATGAGTTCTTTTAAATAACATATGCATTTCTATATCAAAAACATATCATAACAGAATGACCTTGGGTCCAACAAAGAGCATAAACAATTCATAATGGAATGACCTCGGGTCCAGTATATAGAGAAACCACCTCAGATCCAACAGATAACAAATGTATAGAGCAGATTTGATCATGTCTTAACGAAACGACCTTAGGTCCAATCATTTACAGTTGTATAATGACCATTTGGTTAACTCATAACAGATGTTCAGACTTATCAAATATTTGAAACGACCTTGGGTCCATCTTACCAAATATACAAAGCGACTTTGGGTCCAATTCACATATACAGAACAACTTTGGGTCCATTTCAAATATACAGAATGACCTTGGGTCCATCATATGCTTTTATTCTTGTCAATCATACTTATAGATCTTTTAAGAATCAGACAGATAAAAGGCTCATTCATAGCACAAAATCATAGATTCGGAAAAACTCACCACGCTGATAGCACATAGAAAATAATGTACGCAAAAATATCTTTACTAAGATATTACTCACAATGATTTAGTTGCCGACACGTTCTTGCAAATGAACCTACACAATTCATAACATATACACATTGGATCACATTGCTTAACCAGATTGTTCTTTAACTTATTCAATTCTCTTGAGTTTCATTCTAGCTCATTGATTCATTTAGGAGGCTTAATTCATGCCTAAGAATCCTTAGAAAGGAAAGAGAATGCAAATGCAAACAGAACATGGCTTTTCAAAACATGTTTAAACAGAGCACTTTGCTCGAGTAGACCACATGGTCTACAAAAGTATTGGATGGTCCGAATCTAGGCTCGACGATTGCTCAAGCTAACATGCAAATACACTAAGGTCACTCGAGCGGCAAGATGGTCACTCGAGCCAACAACAAAACTCTGTAAAACTATTGGATGCATGATATGTGCACTCGAGCGATAACTTGGTTGCTCGAGATGCGTAGAATGTTTTTTCAAAAATGCTGGATGCATGACGTATGCGTTCGAGCAATGGATTGTTCGCCAAAACAGTGAGGCCAAATTTTGGAATTTACATAATAGAGTTCAACTTCAAAACACATATTTTAAAATCATAAACTTGCATGGCTTGTTCAAAACCTTAAAAACACTTAGAAACTCTTTCTAAAACATAAAATTGTACTCAATTTCAAACCCTTAGCTCAAAACTTCAAGAATTTCATAAAATTGAAACTCAAATCCTCATGTATGTACAATTAAGCTTGATACTCCATTCCAAAACTCACAAAACATGAAATTCATCCTCAAAACTTTATAAATTAAAGATGCATGTGTGATACGTCTTCCAATTCAAACTTAGACAACAAAAACATGCTAAAAAATAGTTGAATTCCTTAAAATCATGCATGTATTATGAATTGACTCTTTTCAACATCCTTAGCTCAATTCTCATATTTAATCATATAATCTCTTGAATTCATATGCTTAATGACTTAAATTCACAAATTAAGGATTAATCACATACCTAGAGTCTTCAATTGTACTCAATTAAGCAAAATCTTGAGCTATACTTTACAATTCTTCAATCTCCTAGCCAAATTCTCGATGTTTAGCTCTTCTCTTTCTCTCTCTAGTTGACTTCACTCACTCTCTAAATTATAATTTCAGTAGATTTTCTTGAGCTCAAAACAGGCTAAACTCATCCCTTAATATATATATACATATAGGCTTGATTAGCTTAAGTTGCTAATTAAAGATTAAGCTCACTAATTAGGCTTAAATTAATTAATCAAATTAATTTTTTTGAACTGAATCAAATTTTAATCAAAACTTTCCATTAGGCTATAAAAATTACACCTTACTTATTAAGCTATTCAATTTCGGTTTCTGAAGATATCAAGACCTTTAATTTCAGACACAAAGCAGAAATCATAATAGATATCCCTACGACGAACAGATATCCATTCAAATACTCATCAAACACATAATTAGTATTCAAAATTGAATAGATATAAGTATAATATGAAGAAAGGTTGTCACAAACTGAGCCTGGGATTGATCATGCGCTCGCTTTCACCTCTTACTAAGCCTAGAGTGCTTATGAACATTAGAAGTTGCCAAAATGGCCTCTTTACTAACTCGACTAACACGTACAACCATGGCCTCCACATGAGCCGCCACCTCAACTAGACCATAGCAATTCTTTCACATAAATCTGACTACCTTCTTCTGGATATCATCACGCAACCATCTCTCAAACTCATAATAACTTAGCTCCTCCATTGCCACCAACTTTCGAGCGAACCTCGACATGCTAGTAAATTGCATCTCGAACTGTGCAAAAGGAGTAGCATTATGACACAACTCGACAAATTGTTCTCTCAACCTTTCTCGAGCAGAATGAGGGAAGTACTTGGCCAAAAATGCCTCCGTAAAAGCAACCCACGTGTTACCTACAACGTTCTTAGTATACTTCCATCAATACCCAGCGTCCCCCTTCAATTGGGAACTCGCCAAAGAAATCCTCAACCCTTCATCTTCAACTATAACCAATCATCTGCCTCTAGTGGTTTAACCTTCCCCAAAAACTCCCATGGATTGGAGCAAAGAAACTCCTCAATAAGCTTAAGGGTACACTTGTTGTCCGCCTCATTGCAAGTTAGAGTCCCCTACACTGTTCTTATAATCTTGCATGCAACTTCCTCATCGACAACTGATGCTACAACGGCAGGTGCTAAAGAACTATTGTGCCCCTACCGGCACCTCTTTTCCAATCCGTCCTCTATTCTCTTGTGTAGACATCCTATAAAACCAAAAAAAATAAAAAAATCGAACTTACTGCACAATACAATAGCCTTTCCCAAGGTTCAC